CTCTCGCCACACGAGAAGTGGGTAGTAACGAAAATATCAAACAATACATACCAGTAATTTGATTCTCGCCACACGACAAACGGGTAGTAACGAAAATATCAAACAATACATACCAGTAATTTGATTCTCGCCACACGACAAGTGGGCAGTAACGAAAATATCAAACAGTACATACCAGTAATTTGTCTCTCGCCACACGACAAACGGATAGTAAAGACAATATCAAACAATACATACCAGTATTTCGTCTCTCGCCACACGACAAGTGGGCAGTAACGAAAATATCAAAAAATACATACCAACAAAACCTGCTGCGACGAAGGACCAGGCATACGAAAAGAATAAAACTCCTTCAGCAAAGTTTATTATCAAGGGCTTCTTAGGAGTTATGAAATTATATGTTAATGTTGATCCAACCATCAATATTCCAGAAATACACAGAGCTCCGCCCGTTCGTGTATCTTCTAACGACCACAGTAGTAACGATGTAGCAGAAAAAAACAGGCTGATCCTAAAATTAAATATTATATACACATTAGCGTCATTACATACATTAAAGAAAAAATTTAATTAAATATTATATCTACATTAGTGTCATTACATACATTAATAAAATATTAAAATTAAATATCATATATACATTACTGTTATTAAATGCATTAATGAAATATTAAAATTTTGTTTATTTGTTGTACTCCTGGAAAGCAGAGAGAAAGGCTCGTTAGGACATGTCAAGTAATGACCTGGTGATTCTTGACAACTACCTAATCTATACTTCAACAACTGACTTAACATGACTCGTTAGGACAGGTCAAGTAATAACCTGGTGATTCTTCACAACTACCTAATCTATACTTCAACAACAGAGTTAACATGACTCGTTAGGTCAGGTCAAGTAATGACCTGGTGATTCTTCACAACTACCTAATCAATACTTCAACAACAGACTTAACATGACTCGTTAGGACAGGTCAAGTAATAACCTGGTGATTCTTCACAACTACCTAATCTATACTTCAACAACGGACTTAACATGACTTGTTAGGCCATATCAAGTAATGACCTGGTGATTCTTCACAACTACCTAATCAATACTTCAACAACTGAGTTAACATGAGTCGTTAAGATGTGTCAATTAATGACTAATGATTAATAGTTTCCATTGAAATGTACAACAATAATAAATAATTTCTACTGAAGTGTACAACAATGATAAATAATTTCTACTGAAGTGTTACAACAATAATTAATAATTTCTATTGAAGTGTACAACAATAATCAATAATTTCCATTGAAGTGCACAACAATAATTAATTGTTTCCATTGAAGTGCACAACAATAATTAATAGTTTCCATTAAAGTGTACAACAATAATTAATAGTTTCCATTGAAGTGTACAACAATAATTAATTGTTTCCATTGAAGTGTACAACAAAACAAAAAGATGTGAACCTTTGTTTAAAAATCTACACAATTTGATTAATTTCATTTAATTTTTTTTCGTTTAAAATTAAAACTGGTACAGGGATAGTTCTTTAGGTACACAATAAAAAAAGATAATTTAATATTTCATTATTTAAGACACTAATTAAGAGATTTGATACACTAATTTGGGGAAGTTTGTAAGAGTATACACTTTCTTGATGGTGGTACAAAGTTCCAAACTTACGTTTTAAGGTTAAAACTAGTGTTATGTAGAGAGAGAGGGTTAGAGCAGATCATCTCACATTTTCTTACCACAACAAGGTGACAGACATTCTTCCAGCTAAACAAAACCTGGGAGTCCAACCATTCTCTTCCACGAAATACTCCAATACTGTCAACACAGGGTAAGAAAGTCCATGCTGTAGCGCCACCTTTAGCTGTTTCTTCATATCATCTGTCCGAATGTCATATTTTTGTATTTCATTTATTCATATTTCTTGTATCAAATGCCACGTTACATACAAATCTATAGAAAATATTACGCTTTAGTGAGTTGTATTCTAATCTAAAATGTTTCATTATTTTATTATAGATATTAATTCAAGCACCGTTTTGCTTACGTAAATAAACTGATGATGTTTGAAATAGCATTAATACATGTACGGCCAGCAGAAAACTGTGTACAATAAAGAGTACACCTAAGTTACGTTACACGGTCATAGCAGCCTGGTTCAAATATACACCAATAGGTTTGGCACTGACATACTGAGTGCAACAGTATGTTCGAAATTTGGATAAACTTTCATAAAAAGAATACAAATAGTATATCAGAATCAAGATAACAAGAAGTTCAAAAATAAAGGATGGTGGATGGATTATATGCTTGGTTGCCAGGACATTGTTGGCTCCAAGCTACAACACTTCCTCATCGAACTAGGATGGTGGATGGATTATCTCCTTAGTTGCTAGGACCTTGTTGGCTCCAAGCTACAACCCTTCCTCATCCAACCAGGATGGTGGATGGATCATCTCCTTGGTTGCCAGGGCCTTGTTGGCTCCAAGCTACAACACTTACTCATCCAACCAGGATGGTGGATGGATTATATGCTTGGTTGGCAGGACATTGTTGGCTCCAAGCTACAACACTTCCTCATCCAACTGGGATGGTGGATGGATTATCTGCTTGGTTGCCAGGACCTTGTTGGCTCCAACCTACAACACTTCCTCATCCAACTAGGATGGTGGATGGATTATCTGCTTGGTTGCCAGGACATTGTTGGCTCCAACCTACAACATTTCCTCATCCAACTGGGATGGTGGATGGGTCATCTCCTTGGTTGCCAGGACCTTGTTGGCTCCATGCTGCAACACTTCCTCATCCAACTGGGATGGTGGATGGATCATCTCCTTGGTTGCCAGGACATTGTTGGCTACAAGCTACAACACTTCCTCATCCAACTAGGATGATGAATGGATTATATCCTTGGTTGCCAGGACCTTGTTGGCTCCATGCTGCAACACTTCCTCATCCAACTAGGATGATGAATGGATTATATCCTTGTTGCCAGGACCTTGTTGGCTCCAACCTCCACCACTTCCTCATCCAAATAGGATGGTGAATGATTGCTGCACTTCAGCAACCTATCTTCCTCTCGATTGCAAAGTGCCCAAGCTATACTCATTTGGCATATTGGGCCTGGCAAAAGTGCAACACCATCTGCTGAAGCATGATGCAGTTGGTGTTAGCTGTAAGAGGAATCTTTGAAATTGTTAGCTTCATAGGTCACTATTGGGTGCAGGACCACGTTGGTGATGGTGGAACAGTTGTACATGTCAAGACTTTAATGTTGGCTCTGTGGTAAACAATCTTGTTGCCGGAGATTTTTAAGGTCTAACACAGCAGAACCTTCTAAGGGTTTGACTGTTTTCCTCTGAGATTTAAGTTCCAGGAAGGGAAGGTTTTCTTCCGAATTGGAATATAGTGGTTCTATCCTCTAGAGGGTTGGCATATATCTGATTTTGTTGTGCTTGGTGATGGAGCACCCTCTAACACGGCACTTCATAATCTTGAGTTGTCTTGTTTGGTTACAATTTGAATGGTGGTGGTGATGGCACCGGTGTCAGAACAGTGGCTTGAGGTTGAGCCAAAAGCAAACTGGGCTCCACTGTTTCCACCCTGGCCAACTTGCCTCTTCTTAGTCTGGATTTAGATTGCTGGCCAACAGTCTGTTGATCCTGTGGTGTCTCGGGAGATTTTAGGTTTAGAATATTGGCAGCCTTAGTCAGATCACATTCTTTGGATGTATCAGCAAAAAATGCATTTTCATCCATGGGTTTTACAGAGTGGAATGTAAGGATAGTCTCTAGATTTTTGAATGTTTAGGTAGTTAAATACGTCACTTAAGATGCTGAGTAGGTAATTGTCAATTAATTCTCAATCCATAGGGGAGTGTAGAAATTAATGGTTCAAACACACAGAAATGAAACAGTACAACTATCTTTAAGTGGACAAGATAGCCAGAAGGATCATGGACTTGATTTCATATACAAAAAGTCTGATTGTTCAAACGTTTAGCTAGAGGTATAAGTTACATAGTTGTAATGGACCAATTATATCTAATTTCTGGCCTAAAGTCGTTTTTACATACGGCGTCTGAAAACGACTGCCACGATCAAAAATGTTTCTACATGCTTATGTGTACTGACATGTACATTGCTTGTAAATAATGTATCCATTACACTCGTAGAAGTCCTGGGGCTTCCAGGCTTCACCAGATCTAACCCTTAATCATCATTCAGCTATTATTGTTATCATGGCAATGGTTACCGTGGAGCCCATCCATATTCACTTCACTATTGTCTTGTTAACTGAACGGAACCTGGCTCAGTAGGAAAGAAGAGAGCGAAACTGTAAATAACTGAAACAGGCTAGCCACTGTACAAACATTTACCTTCTGAGGATGGAAATCCATTAACACAAACATTTCACTTCCCCTAGACTCCTTTCAGATACAAGTTGTCAACTGTACAGCAATGATGCATGGGTATTACTTTATGTCTCTGGCTATACACTCAGTCTGCATTCTATGCATTTTAACTGCACCTTGTACTGGCACAATGTTAAAAACAACGAAACTGCTTATAAACTACCTTCAATCTGCATGATTAAGGCTATTACATTATAACCAAATAAGACACTGTATACACCAAGGTTACTTTTGGTATGATACACAAGTTACTATTTAGATATTTTATAGATAATTTCACCCACAAAGGAATATCTAGATAGGATTAAGTCGAAAATATGTTTCACAACTCTCACTGAAAACATCAGGACAAACTAGGTTTTCTCTCAAACATAGTAAGCTCACCCATTACTCTACCTCTCAAATATTTCAGAGTCAAATCTGAAAAACATTTTCTTGGCACAATTAAAGAAAACTTCAGGTATATCATATCTTAAAAAAATATTTCACAGGTCAGTATTTCCACTTTACTTCGTATCTCAGAATCCTAATGTTCTGAGTACATTATTTTTACTTTTTAGTTCATAAGTTGCTTGGCAACTGTATTTTCATGTCGTACAATTAGTTCAATATAACGTCCATATAAGAGTGAGTTACACAGACGCATACACGTGTGGGTCTGTGTGAGTATTCATATATACTAGTTGCATTGGATATACTACCTCTGGCTCCTGTGATGTTACAATGACAACCTACATGGGCTACCTCCACTAAATATATATTTATCTGTGATTTCATAACATGCTGTAACTTAGAAGCTATTAAACTCAGCCTATCTCAGCATATCACTCAGTTTATGTCAGTTCTGAAAATGTACACACACCTAATTATCAAAATGCACATGCACATCCTTAATGCAGATGTAAATATACTGTGGCAGACATTTTGTACAACATTTTAAAACCTTATCAAAGTTTTTAAAAATGCCTAACGATAAGTCGTAAAATAACTTTATAAGCTTGCTTATTTATCTATAGTAGTAAGTACGGTAAAGTTTAGCCCCAACTAAACTAAAGCAAAAAACGTACACAAGTTACAGTGTTAGTTTATCTATTTATCAAATATAGGCCGTATTTAATAAAGGCTTAACTAATGCTAAGCCTAAGACAAGTGGACTTACAGAATTCGGTGTCTGTAATTAGAATTATTTTGTATTATTCCAAAAATCCTGTACTTAAAGAAGTACTGTTGCAGTAAAGATACCAACTTTACATCAAATGTTTTGCTGGTCTCTGCTAGTAATAAATAATCACTGGCAGTAGCCAATATGCATCAACACATACTCAGAATAACCTACGCTAAATAAATATTATTCCTTTATTGTTTAGAATAGCCTCAAGCAACAGAAAACAAACTATCATAATATTGTATTGCAATTTTCCAGTAAATCCACTTGCAACAGGAGGCAGCACAGAAATATAAATACAGGAAATCTAGAGAAACAAAGCCTTTTCCAATTAAGTTTATACTGTGTGCTGTGAAAGAACAAAACTCTCTCAGTGTAAATGTAGGACTTATATATACACATTTGTATATACTGGAGGTGTCTAGCAAGTACTGCATGATCTGCTACAGTGAAATTCTATTACTCTGCTACACAGAGTGAAAAATGTTTGGAAAAGTGTTGGAAAAAATTTTTATCCTAAAAATTGCTCGGTATATCAGAAAGTAAGAATTATAATACTCTTTCAGACTCATTCATCTTGTGATTCAAATACTGTCCTAATTTTGTAATAGTCACACTATGTAATTAAGCACCACCACTTACTAACTTGGATAGCAAGGACTGTCCCTTTCGAGAACAACAACTAAAGCAGATCTTTACCATTCCACATATCCTTGTGAACACTTATCCAGGGGGAGTATTATACATCACATCCACAGGGAGCTGTATTTCCCAACCAAACAATCAGTTGATATCTGTCCTGTTGTGTGATAAATCATCATGAATTACATTAATAACTCATCTCAATTGGTTCTGCCAGGTTTAACAAACTTTACACTTGAATGTTTGTACTATTCATTTTTGGTAGAGGTAAGTGCACAACTTCACCAAATCCAAACACAACTGGCTATTGAAATTAACTCCCTGATTGATACGAGCCTCTTTAGGTGTACTGAATTGTGATGTCCAACGCTTTGCCAGTGCATCAGCAATAAATTGTGCTGATGTAGTGGCCAATGGATAAGCACATACCGATTATCTCATTCAGTATCTGGAAGAAGACCAGTGATATTTAGGGCTATTTTCTGAAAAAAAAAGAACCAACAATTATTTACTGTAGTTTACCTTGTTTATGCTGGTTTTCCTCTGGGCAGTGTTCACTGTACAATGCTTACACCAACATTCAATGTATCAATTCAAATATGGCCAGTGATACTGCGATCACATTTTAGTACAGATTTGTGTAACACCTTGGTGTCCTCT